ATTCTACAGATATTGAGAGAAAGGTCTCTGTCTCACCTTTTCTGCTAAATAATGAGTATGATTTTTCTGAGAATCGATACACTGGAAGCTTTCTAGATAGTAATTCTCCAGTTCTTCTGTTGCTTATAAAGTGTGTGTATATATATATCTTGAGCCTCCAAAAATCCATTTTAAAGAAACACTGTTCCTTGAATTAACAGCATTACAAAGGCTTTATATGTGCAGCCCCCCATAAGCTTAAGAACTATGATTAAGTTACACATGGGTAGGCATCTAACATCACAGCTTTGCAATATAAAGTTCCCAGGGCCAAAATTAACCTCCATGTAATTCTGCATTATTATTGCTTGAACTAGCCCATTTTTTGTGAAGGTCATAAAACCATCGTGTTTATAGAATCCTGTAAAAACTTTATAATTAAAAGTAAATACAGAAGTTTCAGCTGTTTCAGAAGATATTGTGACACCTTTCCATAGGAAAACAAAATGGTTTTGTGTTTTTTAAGTCTAAAGTCCATTTCTCCTGACAAAGTCCAGTTATAGAATAAAACACGCTCATTCAGTGAAACTAAGACCATGTATTATTTCCGTTACCTTTAACTCATTCATCTTCAGCCTTCTCCTCATCACCTTATACCACTCAGATCTTACCCACTTCTAGTTTTTGTTTCTTCCTTGCTGTCATTCTTTTGTTTCAAGTGTCCAGATTAATAAAGATAACTCCTAATAAGTAGCCATATAGATATTGCTTTAAAAGAGGGAAAGGTGGGGTCTTTTGACCAGGAATGATGGGGTTTCATATAACAGCTTTTTTCCAAAATCTGGTGCTATTTGCAGTGTATGAAAACTTTCATCACCATAAAAGAAGTGAGAAAAAATAGCAAGACATGATTTTGATCAATACCAATTCCGATTAAGTTTGATCACAGCACTTGACATTTTGAGCTGGTCCAGAAGTACACTCACAGAAAACTCAAGATCTGTTAAGACTCTCTAACAGTGTAACTGGACACTGATGACTTGGGCCAGGAATATTCTGTCTACTATTTTGTTTGCCTTATATGTCTATAATAAGTCAATAAAATGAATTAACTAAATTCTGTAATTAATCTCATTGCCAAACCTTCAGCAGTGTTGCTATATTGCTGATTTATTTTAGGCTTTTGTTTGTCTTCATTTTTATATTGTCAGAAGGAATGATGGTTTTATCAAGGGGTTTATGGATTAAAGGAAAAATTAAAAAGTGTTTGAGATCATTCTATATTAAATGGTCATCAAATGCCATCAAACTAACACCCAGGGAGTTGGTGCAGGAATGGACAACATGTCACTTTTAGAAAGAGGAGTGTTCATTTATACTGTCATATGGACATATCAGGGAAAGTGTTAAAGAGCAAATTTTTTTCAAACTGCAGAAAATGAGGTTCATAAAAGCATGCATTCCCTAATCACTATATGTATAAATGATTAGGAGCGTTGTTAATGGTTCCTTCTCCTCTGGAGGCCTGTACTACAACATTAAAACGTGAATGGGACAGATGTAGACACATAATCTGGATGAGTCTGGGATCCATAACTGATTTTTTGTTCATTGCACCTATTTTGTTCTATCACAATATAGTTTATAAAAGAAATATTGGATAATAATAATAATTAATAATAATAATAATTAATAAAGGGTTGCAAAGCAACAAGAGTTTTCAAGCTAGCATTCCTAGTTCTAAACTGATTTTCTGAGACAGTCAGGCTCCTTCTCTTTATCTCTGAGGACCCATTCCCTTCCTTCTCACATAAGACAAAAACCTTTCAGATATACTGAATCAGGAAGACTCTGTTCTGTGTAATTCTCATACTGCACTCAACACTGCTGCGTCTGAGGGCTTCCCAGGAATATATTAAGCAATGTGAATAACCTCTATTATTTGGATTTGTTTTGTGTTTTTTTTTTTTTCAGTCTTATCTTCTTTTCCAGGGGGAAGAGTGTATTCAGGGAAGTGTTTTGTTTGGAATTTATTTTATTTATTTTGTGCTGTACATAGATATGTTGTATTGTGTTTTTCTTGGAGAAACAAGGTCAAAAAAAAATGTATCTTTCTCTGTAACAAAGGTGGTAAATTTTGTGAGAGTCCTTCATACATGTGGGAATTCATTAACAATTTATAGCTGACTGATCCCCAAGAAATCTCTGCTACGTGCATAGGTGAGCTGCAACCCTCCTACTGGAAGTCCTCATCCACTGGGGAGAAAGCACATTCCTAGTCTCCATCCCAGAGATCTTTGTAGTCACCATGGGCTCAGGCCACCGAGCATCCTCAAAGTAAAATCTGCCACTTTTTGTTATGAATCTCAGCTCTGAGTGTGTGCCCTCTGCAGATGATGTTGTTAGAAGATAAATCTTGAATGGCTATCACTGGATCAGATCTGATTAAATTGCTTGGTTAAGTAAAAAAACTAATGTGATGTTCAAATTAAAACAAAATTATTATGTGCACCAAGAAAAGGGTTGGATAAGTGTGGGAGAAGGGGTGGTTTATTTTATGAACTCTGATTATCTCATGGGAAACAAACTTCCATTTGTATTTAGAACAGAACAATTTCTAGCTTTAAGGCACTCTTTTAATCAGCAAGCTCGTCTGATAAAATGTTGTAGGATTTACTTATATATCAAAGGATCTCCCTAGATATTTAAGGGATGCAACTGAATACAATTAAAAGATCAGTTATAAGCACAGTTTGTGGTATAGTTTGTTTGCTATGCTTTGTGAGAGAAGTTTAGTTAATAACATGTGAACTTGTGGTGTTTTAGCAGATAGTAAAGTATTGTACTGTATTACAAGAAAAGCTTTACCATTGCGGCCTAGTAGAGATGCAACTGTTCAGCTATCTTGGATCTGATGATCTGTAAAAAGAGAACAGAGAAACTATTAATGTTCATATCCAAGAATGGAATCATTTATGATCAACCTTTCTGGGCCTAATTTGTTGCTGAATTAAACCTTGTGTAATGTCATTGAAGTCAATGGGGTTATGCAGGGCATAAGTCAGAAGAGTAAATTAGCCCACTGTCTTGAAACCAAGAAGCCAAAGGAGAGAGCAATCCAGTAAAACGGAGATTAAATGCTGATATTAGCTGAATGCCACTGCTCTTGGTAGAGTGCATTCTTTGTGTCCAGCGGTGAATATCTCATCCTTCCCAGGTGTAAAATCTTCCCAGCAGCACTATAAGGCAGATTTATAATAAATGACAAAAGTAATGATTTGGTTCTGTTATAATGCAGCTTCTGGGCTCCCAACAGGAACTCAAGCAGTTAGCAGACAACATCTATGCTGGCTGCAGTGTGATCTCCAAATCAAGTCTTGATCTCTCAGAGAAGTCTGGGGGCTGGCCTTTTTTTTTTTTCCTTTAGCTGTCTCTCACCCATACAAATGTTAGAAGCTAGCATTTGTAGGTGTGGAGAGCTTTCTACATAGAAAACTGACAGAAATACCAGAAATATCTTTGTAAAAACTGGAGTAAATTAGGCACAGTCACTGCCTCAGGTATGAAGCACTAGGAAACAAAATGGATTTGTTTGCATTTCATGTATACGGGTAATATTAAGGGCTCTAAGAACCCACAATATTGCTGTGATTGTAGGTGTGCCCTGGTTTAATGGAAAAAAAAAAAAAAATCCATTTGCACTAACCAGAATTCCTAACGATACATCATCTTATCTCAGATTCCAACCTTTTTTTCTGTCTGACCCACTGATTACTCTGTCTGAAATTAAGACCATCTTCTCCTTCAGCCAGAGATTATGGGGTTTGCACCACACACACACAGAGCTCAGCCCTGGCTGGAGCCTTTAGGCATTTTTATTATCCGTATAAAGAACTAATTCCTGGAGCCTACAGTTGGGTTTGCAGCTCATGAAAAGATCTCTGTGAGGTGACTTGTACAGAATCACATTTTGACAGCATGGCTCACTTTTCACTACAAAGATCAAACAACTTGAATTCTTTTGACATCTTACCATGCAAACTTCAGTGATGAGCTAAAAGATGAACAATTTGTTGGCAATCAATAGAGAAAACTCTCCAGACATACATGTAAGGGAATCCATGTAAAGCATGCAACACATGGCATATGCTGCTGCTCCAGTATTTGTTGTGTTGCTTCTGGTGTAACTTCTCAGTGGTGACAGAACTTGCTGGAAGGACTAGCAGAGGACTCACTTGATATGTGGCCCGTGACATGTGTGATACCGGCCATTTATTCCCTTTTTTCATTTTTTTCAGGTGATAGTGTAACATAAGCAATCTGGCATGGTACTTGAGAACCACTCCAGATTTTAATTTGCTTTAAATCCTGTTGCATCTGTTTACAATTCACTTCTGGGCATGCTCTGAGGAGAGGAATGAAGGGAACAAGATACGGATTTGCCAGCTGCAACATGAGACACTGATGTAAACACATCCAGACCCATCCAAAGTGATGGATATGTCCTGAGGTTTGAGGGCTGTTACAGATATGGGAACAAGTCCCACTAGTCCACAGCCCTAATTTCAAGTGATCAAATATCACCATAAAGCTGGTTTACATGTGCACTGAATTTGTCCTTGGTCTAGCTGTCAAGGTTCTGCTAGAGGGCCAGGTTTTGTTGGATAATAAACTTGATTTTGACAGAAATATCTACATTTTCAGGATCTAAAAGTCCATCCATCCAATCATCCATTTGTTTTCTGGTTTTCAATAATTAAAAAGAAGCCGATTCACTAATGGAAAACTTTTGATCAATTTTTTGAAGTTTTATTGAAGAGAGTGTTTTTGAAGAAAGGTGCAAAATTACCCTGACTATTTCCAACTAAAATTACCAAAGAGTTGTGAAGAATTATCATTACTTCATCAAACAGAGCCTGCTGAATTCCGTCATTTCTGTTTCTGTGGTTGCTTTTCTAAAACCAACTCTTGCTTTTCTATTGTATTTACTTTACATCTAACACTATTGCATTTTGTTTCAGCTGGCGGGCTTCATCTATGCCTGTTATGTGGTGAAATGTATTACTGAAGAAGAGGACAGCTGTAAGTACTAAAACTTTATTACACACAAAATGAATTTTTTTTTTTTTTTTTAAATCACCCCTCTACTATGCTGGCTCTTTCTGACTTCAACCTAAATGTCTTATTATACTGTAGCCAGAACACGCTTTCTGTCCATCCTACTTGACCTAAAATTTGCAAATTCTTGAAAGACAAAGGAGTCATGAAATGCAGTTTAAAAACACATACTCCTTTCTTCTGAAAATATCATTGTAATTTTTTTTCCTCACAGCTTGGTTTAAGACATAAAATAAAAAATGCAAAAAACCCAATTGGTAAATACAAGCTTTTTTTTTTTTTTTCTTTTTTTTCCCTATATTGTTATTAATTATCTTTATAGTAATTGGTTACCACTGAGGGTATAGCTCTTCTGTGTTGACTTGTAAAAGTACTTCTGGCAAAAAATAGTCTTAGATCATTGCAGGACCTTCATTTATGAGAGGTAAAACTGTAGACCTCCTCTATTCCTGCTGCTTCCAGGGTACAATTACAAGTAGCGAAATGATTTCGTATAGATGTACGTTTGTGTTTCTTCTGCTTATTTATATCAATAGAAGCCTGTTGAGCAGAACTTGTTCTTATTACATGCTATGGAGTCAAGTAATTTCATTTTTTCTCTACTCTAACCTCGATTTTTTTAAAAAGGCCACTGCAGCATTTCAGTACATCTTGGGATTCATACTAAAGTACTTTAGAAACAAGTATCAGAACTGCCTGTAACTTTGATAAAATATACATGAATCCCAGAGAGAGCTCTGCAACAGGAAGCTAAAGGGGTTTTATTTGATTGAGAGCACTTCTAGGGCTGGTGGGGGTTCCTTTGTGAGTTCTCCTGCGTAGAAAATAGCTGCAACCCTATAATCTATTGGCAATACAGTGTCACTGTGAGCCGTCAAGGGGAGATTTAGTGCTGAAATCAAACCACGCTTCGGAGGCCTTTCTGACTATCCTCATTTCAGTTGTCTTTGTGTTTCTGTGGAGGCAAGGAAGGTATAAAAGTAAAAAGAGTTTGGGAGAGGCATGTGGAGCAGGGGTATGTCACAAATAGGTCTTGCCTTTAGAAGGAAGGACCCATATGTACTTTCTCCTACTTTCCCCTAAGTGTATTCACTATCCACAGAGTTGGAGGAGAGTGATTCTTTGCCCAAAACAAAACCCCATTTAATGCTATTCTGGCCTCTCTTTTGAAGGCTTAAAATTTTTTTTCACTCTTCTGTAATGCTTTAGGGCATGATGTAAGTAAAAAGCGAGGAAGGGACTTGTGACTTGGCTCAGCGAACAAGTGCAGCAGTTGGAGCACATTTGAGAGATTTCTCCCCGTGGTCTGTAAAGCAGCATTCCTGGCAACAAAGTGCCATGGCCAATATGGTATTGTTTTTTGTTCACTGCAGTGGGATCTCCCTGTTGTTCAGAAGACACAGATCGTCATGTTTTGTATATTTTCTTGCTATCATCTTGCCTATTTTGAGGCTTTGTACCTTTTCTTGCCATCATCTTGCCTATTTTGAGGCTTTTATTACTTTGTTAGTACACCTCAGTTAGGCCTCCTCTTCCAGCCAAAGAGCCATCTTACCCATCTGTGAGCATCTCCCTGAGGTACTGGAGCAAATTCCCTCCCAGCACAATGAAGCCAGCACAAGATCAGGTGCTGCAGCTGTACCTCTGGTGAGGTTTGGAAGAGTGGCTGGAAAAAAAGAGAAAAAGAGAACTTCTGTGGTTGAGTTGTCCCAATGTTGTAATAATGCTCAGATCAGATTTGGTCCCTCAGAGTATTATAAAATTAAAGCACCTTTAATTTCTACTGAAATGCTGCTTGTAGCAGAGAATAAGAATGATTCTAGTTCTTTCTCTGCTCAGACATCCGCTCTGACATGTGCTGAGTGCTCACGGTGATGGCCAGGGGCTGCAGCCCGTACAGATACTCCCTGCTCAGATTTAATTTTATATTCTTTCATTTCTATTTAGATATAATTTTTCACCTTTGTCTTCTCTTTTGGCAACATGTCCATCTACCGTGCTCCTCTGAGAAATAATATATCCCTTATGGATGCAATGTTATTTAATAATTATATTCCAGAGGAAGATGCCTAAGCATAACTTCCTAAGTACATTAATGGATGGGATCATCTCATGCAGACTGACAGAGTGTAAAGGAGAAAAGCTTTCAGGAAAAGTGGAATACGTTCCAGAGCCATTTCTAGAGCTTCCTGCATATGCAAGTCTTTGGTCTGAGAACATTTCAGATTCCCTAGCTGTGCTTCCCTTCCTCTAATCTCTTCTTCCCCTTTTCCAGTTCCTCACCTCTGCACGCTTCTATAGAGAAAGCTGTGTGGCACAGAGGGATGAAGACATCCCTCCTACCCACAGTGGGCTCCCTCCCCCAGACTTGCTGGAAATCTAGCATAGTAGAAAAAAAGCTTTACTCTGCTGCCCACCAACCCTGCCTAGCACCCGTACCTGGTAAGGGGTGAGGCTAGGAGGCTGGTAAGGGCTTGGGCACAGGAGAAATCTAGATCTCTGTTTTTCAGGACCATTCATGCCTGTAAAAATGGGATTCTTCACTGCCAATAAAAGGACCATAGGGATAACCATATTGGGTCACACAAAAGGAACATTTAACCACAAGTCCTGTCTGATGAGCCATTAGAAAAAGCCTCTCTGATGAGACACAGCGGATGTGGTGAACACACATACACTCAGTTCCATTTCTTCTGCTTTGCTAGTGGTCCATGGGAGCAACAACAGTCCAGAAGAAGAGAAAAAGAGGCAGAAATTATGAGCCTGGAAGGAGCGGGCAGCAAGGCATGAAACTGGAGAAAAAATCATGCAACATCCAAGAGCCAGCCATGGGCAGGTTGCAGATTTTAACCAGAGGAACATATTGACATTACTCTGGAGCAGAGAAGGTTCCTCATCTGTTGGCACAGAGCCTCAACTGTAGAAACACAATCAAGTCGCTCTTAAGCTGCTTCAGCTGAATTAGCTTTGCTCTCAGAGTAATTGGAACAAGCTGAAAGAATTACTATTTCTCTATTCTTTATGCAGATTTTATTAAGAGAACAAATGAGCACGGGTAGAATTAAGCAAACATTTCACTAAGATTAACCTGCTCTAACCTCACTAAAGGATTAGGAATGGAACAATACAGTGATCAAATCAGAGTCATAGCTAGGGCTGAATCAGCAAGTTTAGAGGTTTTAATTACTCACACACCAAATAAATCCAGCAGCAGGCCCCCTAAATCAAAGCACAAATCCACACTACCTTTCATGAGAACAATCTGTTTTGGGTTATTTCTGCATCAAGGATTAAAGAGAAAGCCGCTTTTCCTCCTGGTACAGTCCCAAGCAGTGCTCTAACACCAGGTGCACCTGAGCCGAACTGCACCGCCCTTCTCCAAGGGTCAGACAAGGGTGGATTTCCCTGACTACTTCTCTTGGTGGTGGTTTGTCACTCCCAAAGGTCCCTCCTGCATGGTGTCTCCTGGGGCTGTGTAGGGAGGAGGAACCCTGAAGCTTGGAGCATCTTGGGTCTCTCCAGCCAGGAAAGACAAGGGAGGATGGGTGCCCAGGAGGGCTGCTGCAGACTCAACACTCTCCTCTTCAGTACTGGCACTGGTATGCCTAAACCATTGTCATTCTTACCTCATTAGCATTATTAGCTGTAGCAATTAAAAATAAAGCATGAAAATGTCAGCAACAATCATTACTTGGAGGCATTCAACGGCTATAAACTTATCGGAGCTCCTCATTTGTTTTCCAAAACCGTATTAGGCCTGCATTTTTCAAAGGCTGCACATTATTTTTAATAACATTGAAATGTTTGTTTAATGTGCATTTCCTCACTAGCAATTTGGCTCCCTGCTATAAGCTGTTAAATTCAGTATATTTTTGAAAATGTTATTAAATATACAGATATTTTCTGCAAAACCCTGGAATGTAAGCAATAAAGCAGTATTCTCCTGGGGGTTTTTGTTTGTAAGCAATTACAAAAGAAAACTGGGTTACTGAAGTGGGAACTCTGCACTCGCCTTGCAGGTTCTGTTGAGGGAAAGGGGACTGGCTTGTTATTAGAGGGACAGCTTTGGCTGGGAAGGAACCCCAGCCTAGAGAAAACTACCAATCCAGTCTGTGTCCCACAGTGAAATCCCAAGCCAGAAGGCTCCCTTGCAGACCCAGACAGGGAGAAGAAACAGCATTTACCTACCATAACAAAATGGCAAGGCAATCATAGAATAAATATGGCCTATCTGACTGTTCTTTGAGTACTATGAGGTACAATCTTTGCATTATCTCATGCTAGCAGGGACCCAACTTGCACATACACTGTCTTCTTGTCTCTTGTCATTGTTTCCAGGTAAACTGCAAAGCAAAAGAAATTGCATCTGGTTAAGTAGATTTTTTCTGCACATTCCCCTCAGCCTGGCTTTTGGGGATGTCTGGCATGGAAGTAAAGCTCTAGATAACACTTTAAGATTATTTCACTCCTCCCCATAAAAACTTGAATCCAAGATTCTATTAGAATCACTGAAAATATTCAGGAAAACCATACCCTAGATAGATAGGTGATATCTACTGGTGAGCAATACAGCATAGTAATTATGTGCCAATAAACTCTGTGCCACACAACAATCCACTCTGGAATTCTAGGCCTGACATGGGAAGTACGAAGGTGATGACAAAGATTTTCTTTTAAAAGACAATATTAAATTCATCAGCTGTAAAAGATGTGAAATTTTGACAAACATATGGGATAGGTAGAAAAGCCTTTTATTTTTATCTCTGTTACAGGCTGTCTTCCACATCTGGGCAGGTTATTTAACCTCTCCATACTTCTGTTTCCCATATTTAAAATGGGAAATAATGACAGGGACAAACTCACAGGCATGTTGCTTCATAACTTTGAGCTTCTGGGATGAAAGGCACTGTTGAATTGCAGAATATGCTCACTTTATTTCTGTGCCAAATGCTTTTCACAATCTG